GGGAGGTGGGGGAGGGGAGGAGGAGGAGGAAAAGCAATCTTTCTGGGTCTTCTCAGACTTGGGCCTTGTGCACCTTGCTTCCCACTCAGGCCAAGCACACATCCCCTAACTGCAGCTACCAAGACACAGGTGTAACACATCTCTGAAAGTCTGCAGGACACACAACTGCTTGTGAGGTGAGGAATGAAGCGGTGGACAGTGGTTGTGTGAGGCCTTGTTTCAATCCCCAGCTTTAAACACACACAAATGCTGCTGCACCTGAGGGTGGTCTCGTCCCCCCAGTATGTGGAGAGCACAGCCCAAGACAATGGCAATGTGTTCCCGAGAGTGAAGCGTGATATCTAACCACACAGATCCAGGGTGTGACACCCTACGACGTGTGTGACCCCAAATGCAATCAAACGGCCCCAATATGTGTGGAGTGACAAACCCGAACCGGTGCCAAGACCGCCAGTTAGAATAGTGTGAGAGAAAGAGAGCGCGCAGAAGGCCAGCTCGTCCCACTCGGTGACCGAGACAGCCCGACGATGCTTCTGCAGACGAGACCTCGGCGCCCGCCCGGAGTGGACCCGGATCAACGAGGAGGCAACCGGATCGACAACCGCAATCACCAGGAGAGGAGAAGCAAAGTCGCGCTCCCCGGACTTGTGCAGGTACAGGGAGTGGCCACTGGCGGGTGTGAATGAACATGTGTGTGTGTATGTAGATGTGTGACAGATATAAAATATGTAAAATCTAGGTGGCAACTACTGCTGTCTCGACCTCCGGCCAGTGCACACTCCCGCTGGCGACACAGTACCTGTGTCTTGGATTCTGAGAGGATGAGCGGGGAGGGCTCCCGAACCCGGCCCTTTCTGGGTCGCCTCCCATCAACCTCACCGGATAATCGGAATACGAAGCTCAGAGAGTCACTTCATTAACACCCCTGTCCCCAGCCAGCCTGGGAGTGGCAGAGGAGGGACACCACACAAGGACCTGTGGCCCTGTCGGCTGCTGTGTCCACCACAGTCACTTCTGTGTTTGGTGCCTCTGTTTCCTGTCACTCCTTAACAGACTAAAAACACCGCGACATAAAACGACACAGACTTACACTCTGACGGGTCTGCAAGGCGTGAGGCTGAAATGATACCGGGCTCCGTGGCTCTGTGGTTCCGTGGTTCGGTGGCTCCGTGGCTCTGTGGTAGAGCATGTGTGTAGTTAGCATTTGGAGGCCCTGGATTCCTTCCACCCAGCCCAAAAGAGAAAGAAAGAAAGACAGGGAAGGAGAGGAGAGGAGTTTGTGCTCCTTTAGAAGGCCTTAGGGAAGAATCCAGGTTTTTGCCTTTTCTGCCTCCTAGTCCCATGCATTCCTTGGCTTGCTGTCCTTTCCCGTCTTCAAAGCTGTCAGCAATCTCTGCTCCCACTGCCGCATCTCCTGACTTTGGCCTCCTCCCTTGCTCCTGTAAGGACCCTGGGCTGACAGTGGGCCCTTGGGATCCCCACAATCATTTCCCCTGCTCAAAATCTTCAGTCGCACCTGCCAAGTTCCTTCCCTGTGGGTGGCGGAGGGAACCATGGGTTGCGGGGGTTTGGACGTGGACCTCTCTTGGTGACCACCGTCATGCCAAGCACACTTGCAGGATAACTGCAGGATTCTGTCTTGCAGAATAATAACCAAAAGCATTTCTGATGCCTTCATAGGCCTTAATTCCATTGGCTTAATTCCATAGCAAAACCCGTTCATCAGGCAAAACTGGGTTTATTACACCTCCTGCAGCACAGGAGCACATCTTGTCCACAGAGATCCCCACTGGAGGAATGTGGAGTGGTATTTACGGGCCCTGGGTGAGCTATTTGACAGTGGCTCTTTACCGCAGGAAACCAGTTGGGATTGGGCCACTGAGGCAGGCGGGGGACAGAGGAGGACACAGGATTATGTGCTGGCGCTGGGATTTCTCGGAGCAAGCAGCCAAGCCACTTTAACTCAGAGTTGCTTCACACAGGCGCTATGTTCGGTCTAGTCCTGATAATTACGATAATAATTCCCCTTTTTTTTCCGAGTCGCTCCTACAGGCCAGGCAACTTGAAATTCACAGTGGGGCAATCAGATGGCCATGAAGGGCAGCTGTTTTCCTTTCCCTTCCATGACAGAACTCCTCTTCTCTTGGATTCTGAAGTCATAAAGTCCTGGGCCAGCGTTCCGTTTCCTCTCCTGGTGTGGCTGTGTGATCGTGGGGCGAGGCAGGTCCCAGGGGAGGCTCTGCGTCCTCTCCTGGAAAGAAAGATTGGCCTCAAGGGCTGCACACTGGGTGTCCACCTGAGCGGCTCTCGGGCCCAGTTCTGACAGCAAGGTTGTGGCTGTTGTGTCCCTCAGAGGACTAGAGAGGGTTTACTGCTGTGTGGGCAGCACTCTGAGTTAGTTTCATAGCAGATTTGATCCCAGGTACCAAAAAAAAAAATTGCGTAGCAGAGAAAGGGGACCTCACATGTACCACTGGTAGGGGTGTAAACCAGTTCAGCAATAATGTAAAACAGTATGGAGATTCCTATAATAAAGTAGAAGGAGCCAGGAACAGTCTCCAACTCTACTCCAGCACTGTAGAGGCTGAGGCAGGAGGACTTCATGAGTTCCAGACCAGCCTGGGCTACACAGTGAGTTCCAGGTCAGTCTCAACTACATAGTGAGACCCTGTCTCAAAAAACCAAAAAGAAACAAAACAAAACAGAAACAGAAACAGAATTGCCATATGATCCAGCAATCCTTTTGCTGAGCGTAGTGCCAAAGGAAAGGAAATCAGTATGTCAAGAGACATCCTCCTCATTCATAACACCAAGATAAAGAATTCACAAAGGAAGTGTATGCATACGCTGTGGAATATTAGTCAGCCATAAAAAGGGATGGAATCCTGTCATTTGTGGTCATACGGACGAGCTGGGAGGACACTGTGATAAGTGAAATAAATCAGGCACAGAAAGACAAACACCATGTTCTCACTTATGTGCAGCAGTTGAAAAGTTGATCTCATTAAAACAAAAGAGTTGAACAGTGGTTACTAGAAGCTGAGAAGGAAGGTGGGGAAGGGGAGAGGATGGTAGAGTGGATTGGAGGAATAACTTCTTTTTTTAAAAGCAGAAGGCCAGGGATTTAGCTCAGTGGTTCCACTGCTTGCCTCCCAAGCTCAAGGACCCGAGTTTGATCCCCAGCACCAAAAAAACAAATAAATAAAAGCAGGAATAATTCTACTGGTTTATAGCCCAGAAGGGTAACTATGGTTGAAGGCAGTTATTATACATTTCAAACAGATGGTAAGAGAGGGCTTTGAATGTCCCCAATCAAAAAAAAAAAAAAGATAAATATTTTAAATGATGAATCCGTTGTTGCCCCGATCTGATGGTCACACACGGTAACCACAGTGGAATATCACACTCAGGTTGGGTGTAACTCGGTGGCACAGCACCTAGCTGGCTTGGACCTCCAGCACCACACACAAACACACACTGCATGCCACAGATAGAAATATGAACAATTATCATGTGTCCATGTCTTTTCTTAAATAACACACACAGGGCAATACCTTATTTCTTCTGCCTAGAGTAGTTTCCTCAACCCACCACAATGTCAGGCTCGTGTGTGCGTTCACGTGTGTGTGTGGTACTGGGGACTGAATCCGGTGCCTTCTGAGCTATATCTCTAGCCCTTTGTTTACTTATTTATTATTCAGAGGCAGGGTCTCAGAGTTGCCAGACTGGGCTCAAACTTGGGATCCTCCTGCCTCAGCCTCCCAGTGTGCTGGGATTATAGGCCTTGGCCACTATGCTAGAGGCTCCACCACTACCCGCCAGCCCAGCCATTCACTCAGCACAAGAGACCCTGCTCCTGCAGGGCCCACATCCTCATGGCCATCACGGAGAAGGACTCAGAGGAGAGTGGCTTGTGTCACTGTCACCCAGCTCAGTGAACGCTCACCTTCCACAACCGGGCAGAGCTCCCTGCAGGCCCAGGGGGTGACAAAGAGGGGCTGCAGCAGCCTGGCCACAGGGGCAAGCAGAAATCCCCTCAGTAATCGCCGATCAGATGGAATTAAACACCGTCCCCACCTATTGGTTCCAAGATGTCAAGGAACATTTAGGAACCCTCCTGGGGTCTCACAGTTCCAAGAAATCATTCACGGGCATTTACATATGTAGAAAAAGAGTGGCCTGTTGTCTTGGTATTAAAACTTCCACCTCTACGGGACGGTTTGTCTCGGAGACAGCGTCTTTCTGTGCAACCAGGCTGGCCGCGAACTCGTGCTGATGCTCCTGCCTCCGCTTCCCGAGTAAGAGTTTTTAACAAGATGTGAAATCTAGCCAAGTGTGGTAACACACGTCTGTGATCCCAACACATTAGGCGAGACCCTGATTCAATGTAAAAAAATTTCCAAAAGGGCTGGAGATGTAGCTCAAAGTTCAATTCCCAGTACTCCGCCCCCAGCAGAAACAAAGTATTTTAAATCTGCGTGAACCCCATGACTCAGCGGTGACAGCTCCTAGAAACTCATTTTCACAAACGCAAGCTGGACAGGTGGACACGACAGGTGTCCGCAGTCACAAGGATGCTCTTTATCTCAGTGTAGAAGCAGGAAAAACTGGACAAACCTCTGGACAAACCTCAGGTCACCACCAGGACACTGGGGAGCACCCGAACGCCTCTCCTGTAGGGGGATGGGCCAAATCCCGCGAGAACAGAGCGATTATTCCCCTTAGGAAGCTGCGCCCACACCCAGAACAAGCGGCGGGACCCAGGCAGAGAGTTAGGCCACGGACCAGTTACCTCCTTGCTACTACGAGAAGGATTGTCCTTCCAAACGGTCTTTTCAGGAAACACCCAAATAGGGCATTGAAACAAACCAAAGTAGGACAGAAAAGTAACAGCTTTGAGTGTCGCTTTTCAGGTGCATACAACTCCATTGTAAGTAAATGCTGGTGGTAATAGCTTGGCCTTCAGCCCGATTGTCTGAAGTAGGCAGCAGCAGAAGTCCATTAAAATTTCACCTTAACACCTCTCCTCCCTAAAAGCCTGAAAACAGCCTCCACATCCGGCCAAAGTCTCCCCAGGGCTGGGGTGGGCTCAGGGGCGGAGCACTGGCACACACACACACACACACACACACACACACACACCAGCCTGAAGTTAATGATCTCGTTCATTCTCAGGTGAACCACAGGGTCGCCCTGGCTGTGCCCTTTTCCCTAGAAAAACCTACTTATGCTCTGTTCAGCACCAGTCCTGAGCCAAGACCTTAACGCCAATAACGCCAAACGCCTCGGGAGAGCGCAGCCGCTGCAGCTGACCCTGATCCGCCGCTTCTGGAGATCTGGGCCCACCCTTCTCATCGCCGCGCTCCAGCTGTGTTTCTCGACTTCCCTTCGAGGCCAAGTAAATTGGGAAGCTTCCAGAAATGGACGAAGTGTCGTAAGGTTTGTGAAAGCAGCTCTGGAAGACCATCGGCCATTTCTGAAATGTTCCACTGAGCGCACCTCGGAAGGGGAAGTTGCCCCTCAGGTCCAAGGAGTTCAGAGACAGAGGTAAACTGAGGCAGGCAGCAGCAGGAACAGGTCCCAGCCCTTCAGCAGCCCTTCCCCTGCTGTGGAGGACCGTAGGATCCACACGCCACAAACAAAACCCTCCCAAGTGTGGTTTCTCCCATACCTTGTAGCAGTGCTCTGCTCCGGCCCTGGTCAAGGCGGGCTCCTGATGGCTCCTGGCCTGGCACTGGAAGGCTCAGGGGGTGGCATGAGAGGGGTGAAGGAAGGGGGCGCCCCACGGGCTGCGCTCCTGATGTCCTCATCTCAGCAAGGGCTGGGACCGCTCGGGAGCCCCAGGCAGTGGCTGGCACCTGGGCTGGCACCAATGCCGGGCTCGCACTCCCGCTCCGAGCCTGGCCCGACCTCTGCCTGTGCAGTTACGCAGGAGTGTGAACGCACACAGGAGTTACCTGTCGCCTCAACTCTCCCTCAGCCACACACCGTTTGTATCAGTGTTGGTTTCCCCATTTTTGGCCAACAAGTAAAACGATCAGACTGGTGAAAGGGAGAGCAGGCCACTCCGTGGTGGCTGGAAAATGGTAAGAGCCGCCTGTTCGCGCCAGAGGAGGAATGGACAGTTCACAGCATGACATTTGCAGTGGGGGTGTCGCTCAGGTCGAGCTCTAGGCCACGATGCCACCCCCAGCACCCCCAAACGAACTAAAGATGGAAAGAAAAATGACTTGAACTTTTTTGTTTGTTTGTTTGGTACCAGGGATCAAACTCAGGTCCTTGCGCTTGCAAGGCGGGCAGCGGAACCACTGAGCTGAATCCCCGGCCCGAATTAAACATTGTTTAAACAGTGACGCCTCATCCTTTGGTCCCAAAGACTGGCCAGGTGTGACAAAGAAGTAAATGCAAACCTTGAGCCCGCAGCAGACCAAGCAGAAGACAGGAGCAGCAGTGGTGGAGGGGCCAGGAGGGAGGAGCCTGACGCATTTCAACGACAGACACAGAAACGAAATAACAAAACCTGGGAAGGTGCTTTCCTACCACTGACTGTCGCCTGGGCCTCCTGTGTGGAAACTTGTGGTTTCAAATGTGGCACAGATGCTACCACACTGATTATACTTTAAGAACTAAACTATAACTTACATATCATTCAGTACCCTACCGATGTGACGCATCCAACCAGGCACCGTGGCTCACACCTGTAATCCCAGCGTGCTAGGAGACAGAGGCAGGAGGGTGGTAAATTTGAGCTCACTTTGAGTGACTTAGTGATAACCTGTCTTAAAAATTTAAAAATAAAGATGGCTCCGCCTTCCTCGAGAGCTCAAGGTCCCGCGTTTGATCCCCGGCACCCCCCGCCCCCACTCACACACAAAGTTGAAGGTGTAGCTCAGCGCGAAGGCCCTGGGGTCAACTCCAAACAAAACCCAATCCGATATAACCATTCCTCTATCTAGTTCCAAAATGTGGCATTACCCCTGAGGAAAACAGGGTTTCCATTCCCAAGCCATTGAAAACTTGGCCATCCCGGAACTGTGCGCACAGAGCCGCCGCTTCCTTCGTGGAGCACCTTTTCAGAGCCATCTGCCCATATTGTCACGTGCTTGTAACACTAATCTCCGCTCTTTTTGGTCCTGGGGATTGAATCCAGGTGAGCTTTGCCACTGAGCTGAGTGCCCTTAAAAAAAATTCTTTTTTAAAGACAGGTTCTAAGTTTTTCAGACTGGCCTTGTACCTGGATCCCATGTTAGCCTCCACAACAACTAGGGTCACAGGCTTGCGACACTACGCCTCGATGTGCTGCACTTCTTTTCATGCTTAAATATTATTCCATTGCATGTATACACTGCATTCTCTCTCTCTCTCTCTCTCTCTCTGTTTTATTTGTTTTTATCTTTTGAGACAGGGTCTTGCTTATAGATCAGGCTGGCCCTGAACTCACTGTGTAGCCCAGGCTGGTCTCGAACTCAAAATGATCCTCCTGCCTCAGCCTCCTGAGTACTGAGATTACAGGTATGTGCCACCACATCCGGCAACACTGCATTTTCTTCACTCATTTGCAGATTGACATTTGACTTTTTCCACCTTTTTGGGTATTGTAAATAATGCCGCTGTGAATATTTGTGCTCAAGTTTTTTTGGTTGGTTGTTTTTGGTTTTTTGTTTGTTTTTTCTTTCAGACAGGATCTCCCTATACAATTCTAACTGTCCTTGAACTCACTATGTAGCCTTGGCTGGTCTTGAACTCATGGAAATCCCTGCCTCAGCCTCCCAAGTACTGGGATTACAGGCCTGCAATACCATGCCCAGCTCAAGTTTTTGTTGGAACACCTCTTTTCCATTTTTTGATGTGCACCTAGGAAAATAATTGCTGGACTCTATGAAAACTATGCTTATCTGTCTCTGGGGACTCTAAACTGTTTCTGTAGCAGAAGTGTGGTTTTTACATTCCTGACAGCCACATACTACAAGGGTCTAATTCCCCACATCCCAGCACGTATTTTTCTTTCTTTCTTTGATCACGTCCACCCACCCTGACAGATGCATGACACACCCTTCTGAACCTTTTCCTCCTTTTCCCATTTTTGTCTTAGCAGAGTTTTTCCTTCGCCCGTTGCTCTGACCAAAGCCCTCGCCAGCTGCCAGCGATGGTCTCCCACTCAGCACCAGCCCTGTGCTGAGCTTCTGTGTCCACAGTGCCCCTCACTGTCACGGTGACCCTGGTCGGGGTCCCCATTTGACAGACGCGAACCAGGAGGCACCCTGGCTAATAGCTTCTTTCTCCTGAAAATGCCATTTCAAAGCCCTGCTCCTACTTTTGGTTCCTCTTTCCTATGTTCTGAGATCTGAATGGGGAACAAACCAGATACAGTCCTTGTTTGTGAGTTTAGTCTTACTTTTAAGGAAATATTGGATTTATTGATTTATCTGTGTTTATATTATTGTTTTGAGGTAATGGGGGCTGAACCCAGGGAGTGCTGAGTTGTCACCCCCTCCCTTTATTTTGGGACAGGTTCATTCTACCTTGCCCAGACTGGTTTGGAAATTGCGACTCTCCCGCTTCAGCCTCCTCAAATAGCTAGAATTAGAGGTACGTGCCCCCGCGCCGGGCAATAAATGGCTTCTAATTATGCAGTGAGACAGGCTCACAGTCCAAGGCCGGCAGCAGACAGGAACGCGAAGAGGTGAACGTGGAGAGCAGAAGATTCCGCCCACGGCGTTCGCCTCCCGCGCTGGCTTCGGAGGGTTTGGTCCAGTGGCTGAGGTTGAACTGCAGTAAATCTGCCAAACCAGTGTCCCCCTAGGACACGGCGCGAGGGGACGTCACGGGCAGGAGATGCGACAACTCAAGGGCGCCCGCACCAGCGCCCCGGGAGGGAGGAATCGTTCGGAGCTGCGACCCCAGCTCCTAGGGATTAAAACGAAACCGCCCGCCCCTCCACCGGCCCGGCCACCGAGCGGCTCCACGGAAGACTTCTGCGCAGGAAGCGGCCCCTTCCGCCTGCCTTCCGTCCTAATCTTGGAGATCTGGGCCTGCCGCTCCCGGCCGGTCAGCAGGGCTGTGGAATGTGCCGCAAGATCCCTCACGTGCACCCGAGGACGTCTGCGTGCGCTCCCAGGGTTTCACGTTTAAGGCCTTTGTGTGCTTTAAAAATATATTTGTATTAGTTCGTGCTTGCAATACACAACAGTGGCTTCCAATGTGGGGAGTCGGAGTACGTGACTTCTCTCGATTCATTTTTACCCCCTACTCCCCTCCCTCCACCTCTTGGTCCACTTTCCTTTTTTTGCAAAAGATCCATTTCCTTATTTCCTTTTATTTTATTTATTTTATTTTTGCTCTTTAATTTATTTATATTTTGTGTTTCTCTTATAAGAAAAGCCACGCGATATTTAAACATGTCTCTGATTTATTTCACTTGATATTAAGGTCTTAAGGTGCATCCATTTTCCTACAAATGAGGCAAGTTTATCCTTCTTTATGGCAGAGTAGTACTCCACTGTGCATAAATACCACACGTCTTAAATCCACACATCTGTTGATGGACGTACAGACTGATTCGAAGATTTAGCTCTTATGAATCGTACTGCTTAAAACACAAGAATGCACGTATCACTGTAATATGATGTCTTAACTCTTTCGGGAACATCCCTGGAAGGGAATAGTCGGGTTTACT